AGAGGTGCCTCAACTAGCGAGAGTGACAACCTGTTGGGTTGTTGTCATACGACTTGGCCACCAGAGGTTTTCCCACGGTTTCCCCCGTGGGAAACGGTCAGACTGTTTGGCTCTCAGCCGGTGCGTCCCGTAGTCTAATCCTTGTTCGGGGTACATCGCGGCCTTCCACGACCTTGCAGACGCCGCCGCAGTCACAAAGGATCAAACGTCGGCGGCGACGTTTGAAGAAGAGCACCCCATTCTGCACTTATTGGCCCTCTTTTATGCGCCCGCCGTTCCCCCGGTCAGTGGGGAAGTGTGGCGCCCGTTAATTGCCGTGACGCGGGGTCGCCAAAAATGACCGTCCGTGACAGTCATCTTGTTACACTACGACGACATGTTGTCTTTTGAAGCGTAGTCGCCGTCGTCGGCCTAGTGTGACCATGGGATCTGGTGACTACGTTGGCAGGTGACTCGTCGGCCTATGGTCTGCGTCTTCCTCGTGTCTTCGTCGGGGCCATGTCGGTGTCGTGTCGCTATAGTGTAAACGTGCTTCAACAGGTGAAGCGACGTAAGTGTGCGTATTGTCTTACAGTCCCGTAGCGAGTACTGTGCAACTATACCAGCACTACGCATTAGTAGGAGAACTTACAATGTCCAATGTCCGAGCACAGATATTTTTTCTCTTACAACCCGATGATGTGTCCACCAATAAACTCAAGTATGACATGTGAATGAGGAAACGATGCGAATTGGACATAATAACACCATCGCGTTACACTTTTAAATATGAAGTTTAAACGCCCTCCGAGTTTTGTTCCTCTTATCCCATTTCATTTGTTATTTCACTGAACACTACATTGTGGCTGGCTCGTCACAGTATTTGTTGGCCTTCTTCGATTAAAACCAACATAATTAACTCAGTAATCAAAGAGTAGCACTACGTCAGTCTGAGAAATGCACCGCAACGGTGCGATCGCCTCGTCCCAATGGGTGCACACTGCGCTGCCGTTTTCTTCGCTCTGTGCAAGCTGCTAGTAAAGCTTGCGCGGGTTCTCTCAATTGGGGCCGTATTTGTGGAGACACTGGGCGCGGCCACCGCTTGCCCGCCGCAGCCGGTGAAGTGCTCCCAAGTTCCTATACAAGCTAGCGTTACGTATGGCGACAGCCTGTCCTTTCCATTTGAGAACTCGCGTGCCACGCAAACTCGAGTGCTGTACCCCCGCAACAGGATCTGCTGGTAAAAACGTGGAAACAGGATCTCCTCATGCTTCCGAGTGTATACAAAAGAACGCGACGAACGCGGTGTCCTGTGTGCGCGGAAAATTCGGCGGGGACGCTGGGCAGACTCTCGTCGAGTGCAGGAGAGAGAACGAACGAGGCACGCGAGACCCGAACCAAGCGCGCGTTCCTCGGTTGATTGATTTACAAGTGCGCCGCAACCACACGACGCCTTTGCGGTGTTTGCAAACCGCGCTGCATCCGCGCGCCCGGCCCATCCCGACGACCCGCGCGGGAACGCTTGCGACGCGAATGAGCACTCAGTGGCCGCCATAAATCTGGACGACCGACCGGCCGTAGGACCGAGTCGAGGGAAAAATAAAGGCTCGCTTCTCCATGCAGATATATGCGCAAAAAAAAAAGAGAAAGTGAAACCGGCGCTACTGGAGGCGCACCGCCGTTGTATAGAACTATACTGCGCACATGCCGGTCGTATATCTGACGCCAGCTCGCCGGTGCACTGCTCTCACGAGCTCCATTGTTGTCGCCCTCGTGGGAAGAGGGAATGATCGTCGCTTGGCGCAAGTCGTAGCCCTCTACGCCCAGAAGATACGAGCGTATAACTTTTGAGTGCGCGCGCACGCTGCCGCGGATGAACGGATTCCCTCGCGGCTTCGCTCAGCGACCCTTTTGTGGGGCAGCTGCGCAAATGAGTGCCTGAATGCGAAGCTCCTTGCCATGTACAGTTGTGACGCTCGATTTTTCGTACCGCGTACAAACGAGCGCGCATTTCGTTGAAGACTACGTAGCGTCGCCTTCACGCTCACGTTCGTGATGCGAACAGCTTATACGGTTCTTCCTATAGCGCGGAAGTCAGCACATACATACGAATCAGCTGGCTTTTTTGCCTGAGCGTCGCTGCACAAGACAAAATAAAGGGTATTTTTTTCTTTCTTTGTTGCTCATCCCTACCGCGAGGAAATTACTCTCCACAGGGACGCTATTGTATATTCGACGGGAAAAAAATTCATGGAGAAATGACTGGTCGCAAATACCGACGCGCAAAATATAGATGGGTGAGTGTTGAGCGCTGGACACTTTGTCGAGTAAACTTTTGGAAGTTTCATATAGCGCCGGCTGAGTATAAAAGTGCCCGGAAAAGAGCATGGGACTGTGCGCCAACAGGTCATATTATGGCATTTAATTACAGAGATGTGACTTGGTCATATATAAATAAACAGCGCATTTTTTTCTTGACTAATTCTGAAAGTGATTTGTCCCCTTCGCCACCAACGCATTGCAGAAGAGTTGGTGTGCCTTTTTTGTATTCACGAATGGTGCTGTCGAGGTATGGCGTATTTTTAAAATCGTGTTTTTATTATCGTAGTTATAGAAAATAACCATCGATTTCTTATTGACTATTATATGTTATGTTATGTCATGTTATGTTATGGAAGTAAACATATCGAGGCACCACGAAGGAAAAAAATCTGTATAACAACTGCCTTGTGTGTAAACGCACCCGCCCAATTCAAGAAGAGAACAGAAGCCCCGCCGCGGTGGTCTAGTGGCTAAGGTACTCGGCTGCTGACCCGCAGGTCGCGGGATTGAATCCCGGCTGCGGCGGCTGCATTTCCGATGGAGGCGGAAATGCTGTAGGCACGTGTGCTCAGATTTGGGTGCACGTTAAAGAACCCTAGGTGGTCGAAATTTCCGGAGCCCTCCACTGCGGCGTCTTTCATAATCACATGGTGGTTTTGGGACGTTAAACCCCACATATCAAGAAGAGAACAGAAAATGACACAAAGAGTAGCGTCGCAGGATGTAACAAAGCAAGATCAGCCACTCGGTGAAACGAGGTTCTCGTGGATAGTAATGAAGAGCTTTTTGAAACGCGTTACATGCTTGTTTTCTTTCATTACCGAATCGTGCATACACTGCTGTACACCACTGCGAGAAGGTCAAACCTCTTCTTCAGGTCTTTTATTTCACTGACGTTTGCTCAGGACGCTTGCTTCAGAATCATCTTCGCCGTAGTAGTCGTCGCCTATCACGGGCGCTGGTATCCAGTATACGCTGAAGTGTTTAGGGTGTACGCTAACCTCGTTTCATAATGTCTGCTGTGGTTACCGTCGTCATGTGTGTCGTAACTTTACTAATACGTAATTAATTGGAAAAGCCCGTGTTCTTTTCGCAACTGTGATTTAGTCTCCCGTACGGCTATCGTGCAATCATACGACTGCACTATTTGTAATTGGTGTTACTGTAGCCTGCCGTCGTTGTTAGGTTAGCTTTCGATGCATCGAGTTAAACCGTTCGAAGTTACCCTTTACAGTTTATTTTTTGAGACATGCTCCCCGTCGATGCTTTCGCATATATGAGTGATTTGACAGAATATCCCATAGCATTTCTTTCATGTATATGAGAAATTATAAGAAAGTGTAATTTCGGCCTAGAGTTCGGACGGATGGGGGGCGACAAAAGGTGAGCGTTCGCCGCGGGCGCAAGGCGCCATTGGCGAACTCCGAACGAGCCCCAAACAAAGGGAGCCGACGGACGGAAAAGAAATGCATGCTGTTGGAAGTAACGCCGAACTACAAAAATTTGTGATCTCTAAACAAACTCGCAGGGACGTCCGAGGACGACTTCTATGGAAAGCGTCACAAAATGCTAATGTTGCCCCGCCGCGGTGGTCTAGTGGCTAAGTATACTCGGCTGCTGACCCGCAAATCGCGGGAACGAATCCTGGCTGCGGCGGCTGCATTTCCGTTGAAGACGGAAATGTTGTCGCCCCGTGTGCTCAGATTTGGGTACATGTTAAAGAACCCCAGGTGGTTGAAATTTCAGGAGCCCTCCACTACGGCGTCTCTCATAACCATATGGTGGTTTCAGGACGTTAAACTCCACATATCATTCAAATACTAACGTAGTACTTAAGGATTCTGCTAAACTAGCAGTGATCGTCTATAGTGGAACTCTTTTTTTTTTTTTCGTGTCGGAAAAATGTCGGGAGTTCCAGCGAATACAAATAATATAGATATGGCAGTGAGTCTCGCAATGAACTATAATAATCTCTTATTTTATATGGCTGCCACTATTTATTATAATTTACTGTTAGCCTATTTGCAACACTTGTTCTATACGTGTTTTTATTTTATTTTATTTATATTATTGTGATTGAAATGGGTCGCAAATGATTCAGGTTTTCATACTGATGGGCACCTTTGTTTTAGTAGCATATCTGGTTGGTAAGACTACTAGCGAGTGGCTCTCAACAGATTATTATTATTATTATCATTATTATTATTATTATTATTATTATTATTATTATTAATATTATTATTATTATTATTATTATTATTTAACTCGCTTGCTGTTACGTTTGCTCGTGAATGGACACATACTGACATTATTCCAACTGTGGCCACACAGATTTTTCAAAGTGAATCTCGCAGCAAGTACTGTTTTTTTTTTTTTTTTTTGGCTCACGGGAGCCTCATATCGAGGAGGTTAATATCACAAACTGTGCACACCAGCTTATAAATGTATGCATTCCGCAGTGTCGTGTATCGCTACTATCGTTCTTACTTTTGTTTTTGGTACGTTATTTGCTTGCTTGAAAGACATAGCGAGCGCCTAAAACAAATCAGACTGGAGTGGAGGAATACCGAAAGTTCGGTCACTGTTTCAAACACTTCAACTATCGCATCCCCCAGAGTGATGTGACATCCCTATTTTGAAGTGCAGCAACGACCACGTGCGCTGTTTGGGAAACTAAAGTCAGTGATACGGCGTCGCAGGTCGGCTGGAGTTTGCGGGTGGCGGCTGGTGCATGAATGACGAGGCGACCACGCACTACACAGCGACGGTGGATGAGATGTCGCTGGGACTGCGTTGGCTGAACGCAACGTTTGGCCGGTGCGGCCGCTCGCGCGTCGCCTGGCAGATCGATCCCTTCGGCCACGCTCGTCAAGAAGCCGCACTGTTCGCACAGGTACGTGGCCACAATCACAGGTGCACTGCCTGCAAAGATATGCATTGCTTCAGACGTTGGCAAAAGTTTCCAAGACGCGTGCTGTTACACATCTCGTTGTTGCGGACGAATGTACGAGAGACACGGTTGAACAGACGAGAAAGAAGCTTAAAGAAGTGTGGCAGACTATTTTTTGTCTGCATACAAACAAGAGCGTTCCACACTCTCTGCATTGGCAACAGGCAGTGCTGACTCAAGCTCCTGCGTTTAAATGCATATATATACTATAAAGTGGACGGAGGGATGACGGCCGCCGTACCTCATTGCTTGGGACGGAGCGTTATTTGAAGGTCGCAAGGTCGGATCCTGCCGGTGACAAGTTATATTTCAGTCCGCTTTTCTTTGTTGACATTTACATTACACTTACTTGCAACAACGTCGTGTATACTTTCCTTGGTGTCAATGTCTGTTAGTTCTCATTAATATTGTGTCTGAGGAAAAAAACGAGCCCTTATATATACATTTACACTTTCTTTCTTTAAATATTAAACAGGCGTTTGAAATACTCATATACGCATGTTGGAAGTTCAGCACTTCACCTGTGTAAATATGTTTATCCCTTTCTCCTTCATTTTTTGTTTTCTGCATTCCCTCTTCTTTTCCAAGATAGTGCCTGTCATGCCCGCTTGTTATCGAGGGGAAAAAGTTTGGAAGAAAGCAAGGGACTGTCTTACACACGGATAGAAACAGCGCCCATTGGGCCTATACATATCATCGCCATTTCAGAGTGCTTTTCTGAGTTTTTTAGTGGGTTTCAGCACCGCACTCATTTTTTTTTTCAGATGGGCTTCGACGGCTTGTTCCTTGGTCGCATTCACCTTGATGACAAAGAATGGCGACAACACACCAAGCAGATGGAGTTCCTGTGGAAAGCAGACAAGTACATCGGTACGATACGCACTTGTATTACGCATTCGTCCAGCCAAAACAAAAAAAAAGAATCTGCACTGACATCAGGTGGCTGTACAGCTGCGCAAGAAGCGAGACGTAGCCAGCGTTTCGTTGCATGCTGCAGCGCCGCCTGCTGCGATCGACCTCGTCCGCAAGGCTTAAAACAAGTTTTCGTCTTCGATAACGTCTCACGTGCTTATCCATGTTGATTGAGCTTTATTGGGAGGTTGGATATGTGAACAAAGTAAATTATGTACAGATGCATGCTTACATCAACATCGTTTTTTTAAGCTTGGCGCACGTCGGCCAATCAAGCTGTATAACCACAAAAAAATGTCTTTTTACCCTCATGGAGGGCAAGATCAGATACCACATTTCAACGGGTGCTCAGTGGTCCGGTATAGTTATGGTGCTCTGCTGAGGAGCATAAAATCGCTGAGTAGTCTCGATAGCGTATCGCCACCAGCACGTAGTGGGTCGACAGCAAGAGCGGCTCTCAATCTGGAGGAAAAAGAAGATCGCGTGCTTTTTTTCTCTGTTCGAGAGCCAGCCACGACTGACGCATCGTCCTAGAGATTGCTACCCGGTGGTTTAATAAATCCCCCAGTACTTGTGACTCATCGTGACAAACTGGTGGAAGTGCTGGGTAGTCTCACGGATGCTGCAGACCCCCCCAGCAAGCCGTGATACGAGTCCAGTGCCAATCAATACTCCCGTGCATCGGACCAGCCGCCGAATCAGGGGATTGCCTCCGGAAATCGACGATACTGCTCCAACCACGTCGACAAACATGACCAGCGCTTCGGTGCAAACCTCGTCAACAGGCACGGGAAGCACGACGTCGAACCGCTATACGTTGGAAAGCCCACGGGCACCGGCGACGTTCCATGGCACGGAGCACGTTGAGGACTGGTTGGCGGACTTCGAGCGTGTAGCCACCTTGAATAAGTGGGACGACGCGGCAAAACTGGGTCGTGTCTATTTTTATCTCGAAGACGGGGCACGTACGTGGTATCAAAACCGAGAGGAGCAGCTGACGACGTGGCCCGAATTCTCTCGTAGACTTTTGCAGACCTATGCCAGTGCTGATCGCCAAGAACGAGCTGAACGAGTTATTCTGGCCCGCGCCCAGTTGCCAAACGAAACTGTGACCACGTACGTCGAAGACATGACGCGCCTCTTCCGACGGGCCGATTCAAGAATGACGGAGGACAAGAAGTTGCGTCACTTGATGCGCGGTGTCAAGGACAAGCTTTTTGCCGGCCTCGTGCGCAGCTCTCCGAAGACGGTCGCGGAGTTCTTGTCCGAGGCCGTGACAATGAAAAAAATGCTGCAGCAGCGATCCAACCAATACGACAGGCAAGTCAGTGGCATGTCTACTGCCGACATTTTCACCGCCACTAGAACCAGCAACGACCGTCTACGTGAACTCATCCGTGATATAGTACGTGAAGAGTTGCAAAAGGCTGGTGTAACACCTCATCCTACGGTTAGCTCAATTGCAACTGTGATCAAGGATGAGCTGCACCAGGCCCCCCGGAACACCTTGCCTCCTGATACAGCTGCACCAGCTCCTACTGAATACCGCCGTGAGACAACCTACGCGGAAGCCTTGAAATGCCCTGCTGCATCGCCACCATTACTCGTCCATCCTGTTCCTGCTGTTGCACTCCAGTCAGCACAGCACATACCGTACTACGAAGGCACGTACACGCCACTGCCTTAGCCCTTTGTCCTGGCGCTCCTGTCGCCCATCGTTTGGTGCCACCAGTTCAGTACATCGACGATCGGCGCACGTCTCCTCGGAAGTCTGATGTTTGGCGCACACCTGATCGCCGGCCTCTGTGCTTTCACTGTGAAGAAGCTGATCACTTGTATCGCCAGTGCCCATATCGCCGTCTTGGGCTTCGCGGCTTCTCTGCGTACTCACCGCCACCCCGTTATGGCCAGAGACCGCGCGAAATCGAAAACTACCTCGCCCAGCAGCATGCACCACCGTCTGCCGGGCGCCAGTCGCGCTCGCCATCAGTGAGGCGATTTTCATCAACGCCCCAGCGGTATTCTACCACACGATCTCCCAGCCCCCGCCGGGAAAACTAGCCCAAGCGACCTCTGGGGGCAGGGTCGCTGAACGTCGAAGCGCTGAAGACCTCCTATTAACGCAGAACCGTGCAGAAACCGGTCTGACATCACATACTGCTGCAAAAGATGGCCGACTTTCACTCGACATAGCAGTGACAATTGATGGTTGTGCAGTTAATGCGTTAGTGGACACCGGCGCCGACTATTCCATACTGAGCGGGAAACTGACAACGCAGCTGAAGAAAGTCATCACGCCGTGGCACAACTCGCATATTCGGACAGCTGGTGGCCACGTCGTTACTCCACTGGGTGCCTGCACAATTAGAGTACAGATCCAAGGGTATACATTCGTAGCAAGCTGCCTCGTTCTACGCGAATGTTCCCGTGACGTCATCCTGGGAGTTGACTTTCTACAGGAAAATGGAGCTATCATTGATCTGCAAGAGCGCCGCGTCACGTTCTCAGCCCAGCGAGCAATCAACGTGCAGGATGACGGAAAGCGTGTCGACGTACTCCATATTTCTGAACAGAGCGTGACGCTTCCTCCACGAGCAAGTGTTCTAGTCGACGTAACATGCTGTGGTTTGGGCGATGGCGATGTGGTGGCTGAGACAAATTTAGAACACCTCTTGCAGCAAGGCATTTGTGTAGCTAGAAGTGTAATACACCTTCGTGATGGCCGATCCAAATTGCTCGTAACCAACTTTAGCAACGAGCATCGACATCTGTTCCGTGGCACTTCGATAGCGTTTGCCCACGAAGTAGCAAACGTCACGAACTGTCTCACGTCAGAACTAGTGGATACCACCGACACGTCAATGAGTAATATTGACATCAATCCTGATCTGTCCACCGATAACCAGACTGCGCTACGAGCGCTCTTGTTCGAGTTAAGGTCTTGCTTCGCAAGTTGCTCAAAGATCCGCCAGACGTCTATCACTCTACACAGGATCATCACGTACGAGGACGCACGCCCGATACACCAGAGCCCCTACCGCGTGTCGGCTAAAGAACGTGAAGCGATACGTACGCAAGTCAGCGAGATGCTTGGCGATGGCGTTATTGAACCATCTAACAGCCCGTGGTCATCTCCAGTCGTACTTGTCAAAAAGAAGGACGGGTCGCTACGCTTCTGCGCCGACTACCGAAAGCTTAACAACTTGAACAAAAAGGATGTGTATCCGCTGCCACGTATCGATGATTCGCTGGATAGACTTCGTCGTGCCCATTATTTCACTTCTCTCGATCTCAAAAGCGGGTATTGGCAAATCGAGGTAGATCAGCCAGACCGTGAGAAAACAGCCTTCGTGATTCTAGACGGCCTATACCAATTTCGAGTGCTCCCTTTTGGCTTGTGTTCAGCGCCGGCAACTTTCCAGCGAATGATGGACACTGTCCTCACAGGGCTCAAGTGGCAGACTTGTCTTGTCTACCTTGATGATGTGGTGGTCTTCTCTACCACGTTCGAGCAGCACCTTCACCGCCTGCGCAGCGTGCTGGAGGCTATCCGATCAGCGGACCTCACACTAAAGCCACAGAAGTGCCACTTTGGCTATAAAGAACTAAAATTTCTTGGACATCTAGTTAGCGCCGAAGGAATCTGGCCCGATCCGGACAAGCTTGCCGCTGTTGCCGAATTACCAACTCCTGTCGATAAAAAAGCCGTCCGGCGCTTCTTTGGTTTGTGCGCCTACTATCGCCGGTTCATTCATGGCTTTTCACAGATAGCAGAACCTCTGACTCGTCTCACAAGGGATGACACGCCGTTTGGCTGGGAAAACGAGCAACAAGCAGCTTTTGATGAGCTGCGACAGCGCATGCAATCAGCGCCCGTTCTCGCTCATTTCGATGATCATGCTGACATGGAGGTCCATACCGACGCTAGTAACATTGGGCTCGGTGCAGTGCTCGTTCAGCATCAAGAGGGCGCCGAAAAAGTCATAGCCTACGCCAGCCGCTCTCTATCCCGTGCCGAGGTGAATTATTCCACTACGGAGAAAGAGTGTCTCGCAGTAGTGTGGGCAATCACAAAGTTTCGCCTGTATCTTTATGGTCGTCCCTTCAAGATAGTGACGGACCATCACGCGCTCTGTTCGTTGCCAAGCCTGCGTGACCCTTCAGGACGGCTAGCACGGTGGAGCTTGCGGCTGCAGGAATTAGATGTCACCATCGTCCATAAGTCCGGCCGTAAGCATGAAGACGCTGAAACACTGTCACGTGCACCCCTTCATTTCGTCAGTCAGGAAGCAGAGGAAGACGAAGGCTTCCTGGGCGCCGTTAGCGCATCAGACTTGAGCAAACGGCAGCGAGATAACGCAGAGATTCGTCCAATCATTGATCATTTAGAGGGCCAGGGCGCTATCATACCACGTCATTTATCCCGCTCGTAGACGTCGTTCTGCCTGCGAGACGGTGTGCTGTACAAGAAGAACGCTCGTTCGAACAGCCGTGCTTACCTCCTGGTGGTTCCTCGAGACATGCGAGACGACGTCCTCTTCGCTTGCCATGACGAACCCACATTCGGTCATCTGGGCTACTCAAGGACACTTGCCAGAGTGAGCGGGAGGTACTATTGGCCAGGACTTTCAGCAAGCATCAAGAAGTACGTCAAGAGCTGTCGGGAATGCCAGCGCCGAAAGCAACCATCTGTTAAACCAGCCGGTTTGCTTCAACCCATCGAAGCACCCTGCACGCCGTTCGACCAAGTCGGCATGGACATTCTCGGGCTATTTCCCCTGTCTGCGGACAGCAACAAATGGGTGATCGTCGCGACCGACTATTTGACATGCTACGCTGAGACGCAGGCGATCCCACGAGCCACGGCTTCTGAGGTAGCACAATTTTTCATGCCCCACATCGTGTTACGACACGGTGCTCCTTCCAGTGTGATAACGGACAGAGGGACAGCATTCACG